AAGATACCACATCGAAACTAAAAAGCAAATCACCTGGAGATAGTGAGATGTCCTTAATTAACGATACCAAGTGAGCTGAGTTAAGTACAGCTGAGGTGGTCTTACCAGTGAATGGTTGTAAGGTCTCATACAGAAATATGGCCAGTTTGTAGGTGGGTGAGTCAATGGTGGAGACGATAGGACAAAGGGGTGTCCCTTCTTTATGGATTATTGGTAAGCCATACAATCTGGGTGGTCTAGCAGCAGAGTATTTTAAGGAAAACCGCTTGGTTGGTTCGATTAAAGATGTCGAATCAGTGATGATATTGTTGGTTTTCGTAACGAGGCGGTTGGTGTGATCTCTTTTAATTTTGGTTTAGCTACCATCATTAAGTAGGTCCTGAATTTTGTTATTGTATGTTTTTTTTCCATGATGACTGTGGCATTGCCCTTGTCGGCTGAGAGGATGATGTCATCTCTCTTTTTTATTTGAGGCCAAAAAGCCAAACGGCCAGTTACAAACAGTCCTATTGAAGGTGTTACTAGATAAGGTTAAATCAGAGTTTTATTTTTGTATTACCGGTAATCGTATGAAAAACCTGGTAAAAACCAGTTTACCGCAAATTTGTATTGCCCAGCAATGAACGCACATGTTGTGGCCGTGGCATTGTGGCCGTGGCTTTGTGGTGGAGCGTTCTAGAATTTCAAAGCAAAGGTGGCCACGTGTATTTGATGTTTGATTTCCCGGCGTGGCAAGTTGGAACAACGGGCAAGATATCAAATCACCTGTTCACCAATGTGTCGCACGCGTCATGCCGTTCGAATGATTCCACTGGACTCAAATACCATTCCTAACTTTAGAAAGATAACTGATTATGAAATTGATTACCCGCAATTACCGATCATCGTTTAACAACCCCAGTCAGAATCAATAATTAAATCTTCGTGCTGAATTTCCTGAGGACAGAGTCATCGGCATGTGTGTCACCGTGGTATTCTGCTGCTAGCAAGAGGTCACGCGATGGACCCAGGTGCCATAGGTATCCGGCACCGCCAATTTAGCCCCGTTGGCTATGTACGGTGGTGTCAAATGAGTTCAAAAAACAGCACACATGGGTTGATTTGACTGATTTGACTGGCAGATACACCACCTGTACGGCCCAATGTGCCAACTCTCACCATAACACACGCACTACACATTTACCAGGGATGCATCCAACACGTCGTGTGGACGCAGTGATCACGGACAGCGTATTGGTGATAACAAGCCCAAGAACTGCTTTGTTTATCAGCCTCCTACCATGTTATAGACCATGTTTTATCAAGAACGGGCATTGCCAATTAAAAACTATAAACACTATAAACTATATTATTTTACCAGGTAAGGTCCAATGAGCTATATAGCTGTTTTTGAGAAGCGACCTGGCCACAAATTGGCAGCTCAACGAAGTGGCTTACCATGTGGACATTTTTAGCAGCCAAATGCTATAAATGCACATCGATTCTAAACCCGGAGAAATATCCATGCAACCACAGGAAGAACATGCGAACTCCAAATATACAGACGTGAGGGTCGGGATCGAACCCACGACCTCCTGTTTACCAAGCGAGGCAGTTAATATCTTGCCAACGTGGCGTTTTATATATGTAAAAACGTAGCCAATTATATATTTTCGTTCTAAGGTCACACAGTGTGATTGATGGATGTGTTAAGTTTGTTTAGCTGATCTGATTCGTGCCTTCAATTCACTCATGACTCTTTCCCAAAGGACCCACCGCTTTAGCCAACATCTATAGGAGAGGAATATGACGGAATGGGAATTAAACTCAGGTCGGTCTAGGTTCGCAGTGCAGTGTGCGAACCGTAACGCCACTGCTTTACACACATATCTCACACGCGCCTGTATGCACAGAGCCGCATACACACACACTTACAATCACACACACACATGACAGACCCACAGACCCACACACTGTATGCCCCGTGTAGCCTTAACAGACTGCTGGGGCAAGTGCTGATAGCGAGTAGCACCTATGAAGGCCGGCACGCCACACGAGAGAGTGGGTAGCCAGCACCACGCCCCCAAACACTGGACGAACAAACTGGACATACACGCACACTGAACACACACGTACACTGGACACACTCACACACGCGCCGCCGGCCTTTCGCTGCTATACTAACCGTGCTAAATTAGCCGCGAAGGAACACAATGGCCTCGCGCGTCTTGACCGCTCAAGTCGCAGGTGCCGGCGCGGGTCCGCATTCAACGCCGGCGTAGGCTCCGGAGCGACGGGGACCACCTGCGCAAACGCAGCCCTTTTATTCCCCGCGATTGCACATTAGTGAATACGCGCACGAGTGTGTGCACAACGCACACACAACAACGTGCGCGTGTTGTGTGCGTTCCAAGCGCATCTGCCGGTCTTCGCAGTTCGTCAACCCATGGTACCTCCTGGGTCTCTGCCCCGTGACCTCCTTCCAGCAGCGAGCCTTCGATACTTGACGTGGTCTAATAAGTGCACCTAGTCTGGCACAAGCGTCGCGATTGCACCTCCACTTTTTTGGCGAACGACGGTTGTTGCTATTTTTGGAGCGGTGGCGCAGCGGTTGAAGCGCTGCGCTTCAAACCAACACCAGTGACGATTATCTGAACCTGTCCTGGGCCTCCCCTAGGTCAACTCAGCCTAAAATATCTACTTTCTGTGTAAACATCACCACTTGGGAGACAAAGGCAGCCGGGCTTGATGGCGGCCAGGCTTGGTGCTGACCACCTGCACCCTCGTGTGTCGTGTCAGCCTTCATAGATGCTCGCTAACAGCACTTGCTCCAAACGCCTATTAAGGCTATACGAGGAATATGTTTTATTTGGCTTCTGCATACAGGGCGCATCTGCCATTCATCTCAGTCAATTCATGGCCCCTGGATCTGTCCCGTGACCTCCTGCCAGCAGCGAGCCTTCGACACTTCACATCGCCTCAAAGTGCACCTAGCCTGGCACAAGCGCCGGAGTGACGTCACCACCATTTCATGGCTATCGGCGGTTGTTAAATGTTACAGGGCGCACTAGACGGGTAATGTCGGGTAGAGAGGTCATTGTTAACGAAATGAGATGAGACCCACGTACTCTTCATTTACTTTGCCTCGAAAAACTCAATAACCACCACCAATACTGTCAGCTCAACGCTACATTCGCAGGACTACTCTGTTATCAATTGCTTGCTACGAGTGTAATGCTAGCAAAGCAGTACTTCGATCTATGCATTGCTCACCATATCTTAGACGAGTTGAAAGTACGGCGAATCGGGATAGCTTGGACACGTTGGTTAGGTTTAGGGGTTAGTGGTGACCGGTACCCAACTCGATTGGAAAAGTTGAGTCATGCCCAGCACCAGCAGCATAACTAGCTTGACGACAGGGAGTGCCTTGCCCCCATCCCCCCCACCTGGTGGCCAACGCTACGATACGGGGCCCCCTTGACAACGACCATGGGATGTTTTCAACAGAATTGGAGCCCGACCTGACCGGTTGCCGCACCCCCTGAGCTGATATTGTAGTGACTACACCAATGCCCAGCACGTCTCGCAAGCACAGGAAATCCACACCAGAAGCAGAAAGATGACGAACGTAGAAGCACCGGAGACTGAGAGGCAGGGCTCGGTAGAGGCGATTCGAGGTGGTGAGACCAGCATACGAGGGGCAGTGGAGTGGACGTGGAGAGATGATGGTGGGCAGGGCCGTCCATCGGGGGAGAGCGGGGTCCCGGGCAAATCACGCCGTGTGCCCCCCCTCCCCCTTCAAACGAAACCAGAAGTATTACATCTGACACCGTGACGTTGAAACGCGGGGCCCCCCAAAGCACAGCGCCCGGGGTGGTCGCTCCGATTTACCATACCCAAGAGGACGCCTTTGCTGGTGGGAATTAGTGGAGACAAGAGGTTCGGGATGGTAGACCGCCCCCACCCCCGTCCACGAGTGGTGGGAGGGGGGGCATGCCAGCAAGATGTATGTTGAACTTCTTTCGTACCGAACGTAGCCAACCGTGCTAATCGGAGGTGCGGGGAAAAAAACGAACGAAAGACAACATGGGGGTGTTTGGTCAATTCCTTTCTAGTTGACGGGCGGGTGTTTGACGTCGTGTGACGTTAAAACAAAGCACATGGAGAAAACTCGCCATGCACACGAGTGGGTGACACGCCAAGGTTAACGTACACAAATCCAACACAATTACTACAAGGTGGACGCTATAAAATCCCCAGACATCATTCGCAAGAGTGGGCCATCATGTATCGGGGTCAGGGTCCACATTGTTAAAATTCTAAAATTACACCGCAAATTACACAATTGGGATTATATACACAACCGCAATCATCCCCCAGTCACTCAATGAGACTCATCCATTGTCTCCGAGTTCTCATCTGGTTATGCAACATTAGCTTGAAATCACTCACTCATCCAACAGATCCCCCGTATAGCCTTAACAGACTTTTGAGGCAATGCTGTTAGCGAGCATCTATCAAGGACACGGCTCACGAGGAGATGGATAACCAGCACCACGCCCGGCCGCTGTCTCCGAGTGGCGATGTTTACGCACCGCACGATGTATTAATTTGAGGCTGTCGACCTAGAGGCTGATGACCGGTTCAGATAATCATCACTGGTGTTGGCCGTGAGCGGGAATCGAACCCGGGCTGCCGGATTCATAGCAGTGCGGTAACTTACACTACTGCTCCACTCACCTTTCATCCATCCCCTCATTCACCAACCTGCTTAATCACTCATTTATTAAAAACTTGTAAATGAGACTCAAAACTGGTCACCCGAAATGTAATCTGGCAAATCAACTTGAAACGATGAGCCCAGCCACGGCTAACATCAACGGTGAGAGCGACATCAGTCCTGGGCTCCCCCCCGCCATTCACCAACCCGCATGGCTAAGTATGGCCAAACACCCCCACAACAACCGCCAAAGCACGAGCTTCTTTCATCCGGCAGTAGACTGACACAGGGCCCTGCACGATCATTATTTAATAATTTATTTCCCAGGTGTCAGCAGGGCAATAACTACATCCTGTTCACCGTCCGCACTCACGGACCCGTGTATATTTGTTTAACGTTTTAATAACAGCGCAGGTGTAAACATTTTAATAACATCGGTTTCAACACCGTAACGTGTACAATTACAAACTGCTGTTTACTTTTAACTATTTCACAACGCTGTGCATGCAAAAAATTACGTCCGTAACAAGTACAACGTCATGCAAAACCCAATAGAAAATGTCATTTACAAACAATAAATCCTAGGAATCCTAAAGGTGCCTTGGTCTAGCTCTCTGAGCCTCTGGAATCTGAACACTTCCATAACCTGGCTGAGCTTTGACTGTTAACATAGCCGCAGATAATCCTTTAGGTGCCCGAGTCTGGCTGGCTGTACAAGTCTTTGGCATTAACACTGCATCCTAGGAACACTAAACATGCCTGAGCATCACTACGTAGGTTATAAAGGTAAAGGGGCATCCCTGCAATCCTTGCTTATGCCTCTGCTGACGGAAGGGAATCCACTAGTGAGCTCCATAGAATGGTGTTTTGGCCTACTCTTCCACATTGGTCAGACCATTGTAAATAAGTGGGAGTTGCCAACACTTTACCCCCTCACACGCGACCTGCCAATCGACTGGTTGGGTAGATTTACTGCAGGGGGACTCTATAAGAAACTCCGTATCAAATTATGTGCCAGGAGTCCGAATTGAACCGGCTACCTCTGGATTGCAATCCCAGTGCACTGACCGCTACACCACTGGCAACGTCCAATGTAACATGGTACTCAACCTCAACATCTATACAACAATAACGTCGACCAAACATTTAACGGCCTACTTTACTACTCAATACGCAAGTATAACGGCTACACTAATCGGGTTGTGCCGTGGCTTAGATTCTGTTCAAACAGTCCCTGTATGCATGTCTTGTGTACGTGCAATTACAGGGTAGCTGGGTATAGTGTTGCTGGCCATATCACCCCCTCGCGTGCCATCATGGCCTTAATAGGCGCCCACAAACAGTCCTCGTCTCGTTGGTCTACAAGGATAAATCAAACAAAGACAGTTACCACAAGGCATACGTTCAGATGCGTTTCTGCAGCCATCTGGAATGCTCTTCCTTCCCATATAAGGAAGCCACTGGCGCTATGCAATTATAAATAATCTAGAGTGAACAATCATTTCTTTAGAACTGATTTCTGTGTTTAGTTTGTCCTTCCCCTACAACTCCAATTAGCACGGCTGGCTACGTACGGTGCAAAATAAGTTCAACATACATACAAATGAGGGGACGAACTCGGGTGACTGAGTTTTTGGCAGTGTGCTAACCACTTCGCCAACGTTCCTCCTTGTAGATTGTAAAATACATGCCACTGCAGGCTCTACATGCACCACAAGTGCAACAACATGGATTCGTGAATTAAATAAAAACCCTGAATCGTGAAAATGCATTGACGCGCCGGTCGGGTGAACCGTGAAGACATCGCGTAACAGACAACCAACAGTGCTGCACAGCTAACTGTGTGTGTGCGTGCGTGTGTCCATGCGCCTGCAAATGGCAAGTGTTCTCGTGTATGCTGGATGTTTCAGTAAACACAAGCCTCAGTCACTCCTGTCACTTGCAAGGGCCTCTAGCAGTGACACAAGTTATTGAGGCGCGCGCATGTGTGTTTTCACAAGTCGTCATCACAGATCGTCGTCACAGGTTGCCGTCACGGGTCGCCATCACAGGTTGCCGTCACAGGTCGCTGTCACAGCTCGTCATCCTCGAAGCTCTCCGTGCACTGCAGCAGCTGGCTCGTGTCGCAGACGCCATCGCTCTGCTCCGCACAAAGAGATGTGCATTCGCACACACAAAGAGACGCGCGTTCGCATGCATGGCACACACGGTAAAAACCTCTCCCAGTCGGGACTCCGGTTAAGCCGGAACGTGAGGGAGAACCGAAAAGGCTACCCAAATAAATTAATAAATGCACAAACTGGAAAAGTGCGACCGGAATAGTGTTGGAGTCAAATACCGTCTCAGAGCTAGCAGCAATTACCAGATCATTGTCATACGTAACATGGTTGACCAAAAGGAAGCCATCCCTTGACCGCACCCTGGTATCGAATCAGCCTCCCATTGTATCTGCACCAGATGTAAATTCCTCTGGTATAGCCATGGAAAGATTCTTGAACCACGTGGTTACAGAATGGGTTAAATAGTGTAGGAGCCAGAGGACTTCCCTATCGCACCTTCAAGTGAACAGCGAATGCCTCCAACTACCGGCTAGGCAGCGTTACCTGGGCCTGCCCACCATCATGAAGGTCCTTAAAGATTGTGAGCAGAGGATCAGGGACCCAAAAAACATTAAGAATAACCCAAATCCCCTAGCCACTTGATGGTATGATAGACATGCCAAGGTCAATAAAGCAGAGGTCTAGGTCCTGTTGAAATTCACTACCCTTCTCTTGTAGCAGACAGAGAATATGGCATCAGTGCAAAACTGCCCAGGCCTGAATCCATACTGGGGCTCTGCAAGCCTCTCATAAGGGTGGCTCGGAAGGTTATGTTGAATAACTCTTTTCAGGAACTGTCTTAACCGCACACAGAGGATGGCAATGTTCTGGTAATGGTTGCACACACATATATACTGCACAGACATATGTGCATACACAAATGAGAAAAAAAATACATCCCCCATATAGCCTTAATAGATCTTGATTTGAAGCTTTCATGACTGCAGGAATCCATACTCTTTGGTTCTTTCGGTAAAGTCACGTAGGTAGAAACATAAAATATTTATAAATAACCTCTTGTTGTAACAGCTCTCTCGCTGGTTCAGCAGTTCCACTGCTGAATAATTTTTCCGCCTGAGGACGACCGCTTGTGTTGCGATCGAAGCGTCGTGATATTATTTATTCTTTTATTTAATTTTTCTACCTACGTGACTTCACCGAAATAACCAAAGAGCCTTAATAGGCTTTTGGGGAAAGTGCTGTTAGCAAGCACCTATGAAGGCCGGCACGGCCGCTTTTGTCCCCCTAGTGGCGATGTTTAGGCTAGTCGAGATACATACATACACACACTTATGATACATACATACGCATACTTATGATCCTTATGGCGGTACCCCGGGGTACCAAATAATACAAAATGTCTGAGGCAATTACAATTTTTATTTCCGGGACACTATTTTTCCAGGGGTGTACTTAACTCCACGACTGGGGTACCAATAAATCCGAAATCAGTGCTACTCCACGATGTTTAAACCCAGCGAAGACGATTGCACTGAAACCCTGAACGCTCGTATGCACCATAGTGCATCGTGTACAGCTTGTCGAGATGAGTCGATTACCGCATCGCCGACCATCAACAGACAAATGATTGCATCTCGGACATTATGCGAGAGCCGGGGTACTATTGTACCCCTGGGTACCACCATAAGGTTCATATGCACACACACAGATATGCACATGCACCCACAGACACACACGTCAAAATACAAATTTGAGCCTGAGTTGACCTCGGGCAAGCCAGGGATCAGTTCAGATAATTGTCACTGGTGTTGATGGCCATGAACAGCAATTTAACTCGGGTTGGTGGGTTTGTAGCATAGTGCACGAACCGCTGCACTACCACTCCCCACCCTAACACACACACTGACACACTCACAAAAGACATACAAATATGAAGATTCCCCATATATCCTTTAACGGACCGTAAGAGCAAGTGCTGTTAGCGACCACTTATGAAAGCTGGCACAGCACAAAAGGGGGTGGGTGGCCGGCCGCCTTTGTCTCCCTCGTGGCAATGTTTACTTGCCGCACAAGATACCCATTTGAGGCTGATTAAACCTAGGGGAGTCCCAGAAACGATTCAAATAATCATCACTGCTGTTGACCATGAACAGGAATCTAACCCGAGACACAGGGTTTATAACGCAGTGTGTTAAACACTGCACTACTGCTCCCCACACAAAGACACACAAGCACATAGCACACACAGTAGCTCGGGCCACAACACTTCGTTGGTGACCATGCGTGCATTGGTACCAGGAATCCGAAGGTAGACCCGGCCGGGAACCAGGACTGGGGAATGCGATAGGAGCCATCCTCAGGCTGATCCAACCCGGTATTCATCTGGCTCCCACTGCAAGCACAGGGACACAAACGCAGAGTAGCCACCCACCACCCAGCAGCCAAGCAGAATGCAGGAGCAAGCACCGTTAGTGAGCGTCTCTTAACGGATGTACAGTGATGTAGCTGCTCGTGCAGAATAAAAGCAGTCAGCCTGGATGTGTTCAATAAATCTCCTTGGAAGGGGGGTCGGCAGCTCAAAAACAATGTGAGGGAGTAGGGATACTCTAGTGAGCCAAAGACAATGATCCCCCGTGTAGCCATAGCAGACTTTTTGGGGCAAGTGCTGTTAGCGACCACCTATGAAGGCTGGCACAGCACATGAGGGGATGGGTGGCAAGCACCACACCCAGCCGCCTTTGTCTCCCTAGTGGCGATACTTATACATTGTGCCAGGGAGGCCAAAGACCAGTTCAGATAATCGCCACTGGTATTGGCCGTGAACGGGAATCGAAATTGGGTCGCCGGGTTCCCTACACCCACGTAATAACAACTGCCGTTCGCCACTAAGTGGTGGTGACATCACCATGACACTTGTGCTAGGCCAGGTGCACTTTGAGGCCACGTGAAGTGTCGAAGGCTTGCTGCTGGCAGGTCATGGAACAAACCCAGGTGCCACGGGTTGATCGGCACACACACCCAGAAGACCTGTACATTTACAAGTTACACATACGCGGCAATGTTCCGTTAATATTCCTGTGCACCTCTCTAAGGCCCCAGTCATTAAACCTGGTCTAGTGAATGTTCGTTATATATCTATGGGACATTTTTACCAGCATCAAATCTGCATTAAACAAACATGCTTTTAAAATGTATGTGTAGTGACATCGGGGATGTCACTGTATGGTGCCGACCCGGAACGGTTGTGGCGTGCGATGTTCCGTCGCGGACAGCACTGGGTGGGTTGCTGTGTGATGCCGGCTTTACTATAGCACGGCGTGCGATGCACCGTCATCGCGTACACCCCGTAGATGGGTGTAGTACCAGCCCTAGCGGAGCTTGGTGAGTGCTGGGATAGCGCGGGCAACGCGCATAGCGTGTTGTGAGGGCTTCCACAAGGGGGAGCGGGAGAGTGTCAGCCCAGGGACCGGGTTGTCCCGGGCCATGGCACTCTGGTTGACCGCGTAGACACGTGATCCGGAGTGTCCACAGAGAGGGCCCCAGGTAGGGGGGCTAGGGGGTGATCACGTGTCCGGGGAGAGCTCTCGAGAGGGAGCTAGAACACTCGAGAAGGCGGGCGGGGCCTGGGCGGAGCCGGCCCGACCCGGGAGCATATAAGGTGGGTCCCTGAGAGGGACCGAGGTCGCTTTGTTCAACAAGCTGGAAGCTCCACATCCTACAAGCTGGAAGCTCTATGTCCTACAAGGCATCAACACGTGGCCGGGACCCAAGTGAGGGCATGACCCTTCGTAGTTGTAACTCCTCCGTCTAGTGTAGTTAGCTGGGTGGTCACCACCGTAGGCTGTATCTGGTAAAGGGGCAGTTACCCCTTTGTGTATTATTACGTGTTGATATAATAAATGTGTTGCCTCTCAAGGATAACGTCTGCGACTCAGCTGGACTCACTACATATGCATTGTCCTTGAAACGGATTGGCCTACATCAGAGACAGTCTATGATAGGGCGCCACCGTGGCGAGATGTTAACTACCTCGCCTTGAATAGAGGAGGTCGTTGGATCGATCACAACCCTGACGCGTGTAAATCTGGAGTTTGCATGTTCCCCCCGTGATCGCATGGAATTTTTTCTGTGTCCTCCGATTTTTCCCTCCACATTAATAAAAGTACAGTTAGAGTATTTGGCTGCTATAAAGTTCCACACGATAAGCCACGTTGTGGAGCTATAATTTGTGATAGCCAGGTCAATTCTGAAAAAGAGCTATCTCGGTCAGTGGGCCTTACCTGATAAATAATAATAGTTTATAGTTTTTATAGTTTTATATAGCCGTGAACTTTCTTCTAGGTCCGCCAGCGGAGCGATTAATTGGAGAGTGGTAACAGCGTATTTCTGCCCGAACCCCTGAATTCTGATGCAGGTAACAGCGGGCCAGCCCGTGTGGTGGAAAAAAACCCCATAATAATGCGATTTGCAGCCACAAAATAAAAAAAACACAATCGCCGCAGGGATGGCAACTTGCATTCACACCGGCGTTTCACACCACGAATGAACATGCGGCAAAGTAAGAGTTGGCTCACGCAGTGAAACGCTGGGCAGCGTCGCACTCCACGGGAAGCTCCTGCAGAGCTCTGCTCGGTTCCGCCGCCTCCTCGTGCGTCTAAAACAAAGCACGAACTTAGGGAATCGTGCACGGATTGTGGCAACGCTTTCGAGCATGCGCGAGTCCTTCCTCGTAAGCAACTTGCTTAGCGATCACACTGTGAGATTAAAATCCGGTAAGCGCTGGTTTTATTTACAAAAGATTTCGGCAACCCTTAGATAAATTTTGTCAGGTTAATATCGGACAAGTCACATAGATTAAAACTTCAAATCTAGATTGTTAAAGGGAGCTTTATAAATTTAAATTATTATTACACGTTATGAATAGTTCATGTCATAATTATAATAATACCCTTTATATATTCAAGAAAGCCTCACTTAGTCTCAAGGCTCTTCTTTGGGAGGCTCCTGCTACTTTAGTGTAATTGGCCAAACATTCAAAAGGATATTATGGTTACAACTAGTGTCAGGCTTAGTGCGATGCGTATAGTTGCTGGGTGGGGCTTCTGTTGGTACTAGGGACTCACAGATTTAACAACACACAAAAGTGTGCAGCATCGTAAAAATGAATGTTGAAGTTATTTTCCACCATTCATAACCAACCGTGACTAATCAGAGGCGCACTAAACACAAAAAGCAGTTCTGCACAAGAGCACTCAACCTTATCCAGGCAACCAACTCAAAATAACTAAATGCATGGCCATTTTGTTGAAGAGTTGACAAAATATGGCCATCCCAACGGGCAGCAGTTGTGAGAAAACTACGGATTGCTTTCATTATCTTTAGGACTCATCAGTAAAGTAATCATCAACGTGCACTGCTGATACAGTACATACTTCTGAGAGCCCCACATAAGGAGAGGGCTGTAACCTTCACTCTACAGGGACCCCATTAGCATTTGCCTCAAGGCAACAATAACGTTTTCTGATCATTTAAAGTTAGTGGTATAGCTCAGGCTATGCATGGGGCTAGTGCTATGACTTGGGCTAGTGGTAGTGCTGGTGCTATAATTAGGGCTAGTGTTAGTAGTAGGCTCGTGCTATGGCTAGGACTAGTACTATGATTAAAGCTAGAGTTAGTACTAAGACTGGTGCCATACCTAGGACTATGGGTTTGAATAGGGATAGTGTTAGCAGTAGGGCTGGTACTATGGCTAGAACTAGTACTATGATTGAAGCTAGAGTTATGACTTGAACTGGTGAGTACATGTAAACACGTGCAACTCTTACAACTTAGGTTATCACGAGTGTGCATAGTTAAGAAAAGGGCTATGATTAGACATAGTCTTAGCGGTACGGCTGTTGCTATCGCGAGAGCAATAGTTAGGTTCAGTGTTTGTGGTGGGGTTGACATGTTCGTGTATGCAAGTTGAACTTATTTCAATCCGTACTTAGCCAACCATGGTAATCTGAGGCCAATGCCGCAGGGACGCAGTGGGCCCTGACCCTACGGCCACTCACATTGACTCCTCTCGGTGAACTCAGACCGGGACAGTGCAGGGGCAGCGCCAACCTCGCCCGTCTCCTGGCACTAATCGCGTGGCTCGCACAACACACGGGCAAAGGGTTCATCACCGATTGTTGGATTAGGCCACGCGACGTATCCAGCCACATTTTTAAGCATCAGCAAAACAAATAAAATTGTTACGTGTGCAAGTGATTAACGACAAGTCAATTGTTATTGCTTCAGCTCAGTCGGTAATTTTAAGAACAATTCTGACAAATTTAGCAATTAAGACATACAAGGTTTTGCTTGTAACTGCATCAAGGTAGTCAGAATAGCTGTGTCACCTGACCCTAATTTTTAAATAGGTGTCAAGGGTTGGCTGTCTTCTCCAAACTTGCAACTCTATGTGCACTTTTTGGTATTCTCCAGCTAGGCATGGCTAACTGATGAGCCTGTTTATTTATCCCCAATTCTATCCTGACTGTGCAGTTCTGCTTGATACACACTTGACCACGCATGTGAGAAACAGTTATATATAACGTATAGTTATACATCACGTATAGTTTTATATCATGCATAGTCTTATATATAACATATAGTTTTGAATGTTTAGTTTTTTCACAAGGCGTTGTCGTTCAAGAGAATTGCATTTCTCACAATCGGCAAAGACCAAGCTGGATGGCAGCAGCCAGATGGGGAGGAGCTGGAGACACCAACAATTGCTCGAGCTATACTGTCCCCTGTATAGTAAGATGTACTCAGCCAATTAATGAGCATTTATATGCGTGGGAGGAAACCGGAGGACCCAAAGAAAACCCAAAAAGCCAAATTACATGTAAATTCCATGCTCCCGTTCCATTAATGCTAAGGGTGTGAACAAACCCGTACGATTTAAACGAAAAAAATTAGAAACATTAGAAACAGGACGGTAACAATGAGTGAGAAAGAATCGGTGTTAATAGGTGAATCAATGCAGTGTGACGATCCCATTACAATGTGAGAATGAAATCAATTAAAACACCCTAGCTTTTCCGTACCTGGCCGAGTAATACTGATGTATAAACTCCATCTGAATGGCCTCGAGGGTGGATGGAAAGGGGATATAACTCCCATTCTTTTCTGATCAAACACACACACACACAGGGCCTGAGTCACAAGTTAACAATACGATGCGGTTAACTTGACATGTGAGTTTTCACAGCCGATATTAATGATTTAACACGAATGCGTATTGCAAGTATAAAAGCCTCTTTTTGATGGAGTTATTCGTCATTTACAGACTGAACTATGGTATTATTTATCTGGCTGTCCTCAAAACACAGGCCATAAGTCAAGGATCTCATGCCTAGGCTTGCTCGCTGTGCCCCTCCAGGGAGACACCGGTGGTGTAACAATCAACTGCACCGGAACATCAACAGGCCGATTGCACATCTCTTTCGGTAATGGAAAATTAAAGACCACGCACAGTGCAATTGGGGCCATTAAACCCAAACTATGGACCATATAGTAAACTACTGCAGTCTGCACTCTTGCAACAGAGGGATAGCAAAACTACACAAACTCTCTTCTGAAGTCCTCTTGTGGTGGCTCACAGACCTCAACATTGGCATTTCACTCCTGAACAAATTGCATTATGCAAGAATATAATTGTTATGGAGTTTTTTTTTTATCATGAATTTATATATTGCAGCAGATTCATACAGTTCTCAAAAAAATGTCCTGAGGATGCTTCCAGGACGTGCTGCGAAACGTCGGTACAACGTGCCAATCGACACGTGGCACATTCCAACATCACATCGAGGAGAGCCAAGTGGCAAAATAGCGAAACGCACAAACACGTTACCATTTTGCTCGCTGAGGTTGACGATGGAATTCTCCAGTTGCACAATGCACATCTTAACTTGGCACAGTAACATCCACTGCAGAGACACAATAATAATGATTTCAGCTTTCCTGCCTTCACGAGGATGTTGTGGACAGCTGCCAGTTTTAAAGGGGCACAAGTAATCAAGCAGAGAGAGGAGTCAATTACATAACTTGGCTGATTGACTTAGAAATTCATGTCGCCCTAAAACTGGGCATGTTTTTTTGGAGAGTATGCATTGAGACCCATGTTGTAATTTACATATTACGTGACTATAAATACTAAATCACAACATATATTACAATGCATTGTTTTTATTTCCAGTCCTTTTATCAGTCCACTGCTGGATGAAGGCCTAACCACGACACGGGCTTAACCGTGCGAGTTTAATCATACTTCACCACCACGTAGGTAGGCATGAACTTCAGGCACAGCTATCAAAAATCCTCACCACCATCACCACTCGTGATGGGCTGGGGGGGGGGGGGGAATTAGAAAACACCCCTCCCACCCACCACAAGCACCTTGGAAATGTTGCAGCTGCTGAAATACGGCTGCATCAGAGAGCGCAGCTTCTCGTAGCTGATGCTGGCGCGATGGTGCGCCTGGGAGCGGCGTCTGCGCCTAGGTTGACGGTCTGGCTCCATCGTCCACTCGTGCCCGGCACCGCCCGTTGCCTAGAAAGCTGGGAGGGCAAGGTTTGAAGGATCGCGCAAAGATGGGAGCCGTAGAGCATTTGATACACTGATGAGTTTGTTGTATGGCAGGATAGAGTATTCACTCATTATTCACGAACTTGCTATCCACAATTTTGGCTATCTGCAAATCACATTTGGAACTCTACACGACTGCGTCGAGAGAAAAAAGTGATAAAATAAAGTGATTAGAGAGAATGTGATGAGATTAAGTGATGCTACTGTGCAGCAGCATCATCATTTAAGGTAAGTTAATTTCACAACTATTATTAAATTTATAATTTCCGTATATTTAAAGCTTATTTGTGTATTTAAGTAAATTTGTTAGGCCAATATCATCTGCGAAAATTGCTATTCAGGAGCATCGTCGGAATGTATCCCTCGCGAATAACGTGGGAGCACTGTTTCTGACAGGAACCAAGTCTGTATGTTTCTGACAGGAACCAAGTCTGTATGTTTCTGACAGGAACCAAGTCTGTATGTTTCTGACAGGAACCAAGTCTGTATGTTCCTGACAGGAACCAAGTCTGTATGTTTCTGACAGGAACCAAGTCTGTATGTTTCTGACAGGAACCAAGTCTGTATGTTTCTGACAGGAACCAAGTCTGTATGTTTCTGACAGGAACCAAGTCTGTATGTTTCTGACAGGAACCAAGTCTGTATGTTTCTGACAGGAACCAAGTCTGTATGTTTCTGACAGGAACCAAGTCTGTATGTTTCTGACAGGAACCAAGTCTGTATGTTTCTGACAGGAACAAAGTCTGTATGCTTCTGACAGGAACCAAGTCTGTATGTTTCTGACAGGAACCAAGTCTGTATGTTTCTGACAGGAACCAAGTCTGTATGTTTCTGACAGGAACCAAGTCTGTATGTTTCTGACAGGAACCAAGTCTGTATGTTCCTGACAGGAACCAAGTCTGTATGTTTCTGACAGGAACCAAGTCTGTATGTTTCTGACAGGAACCAAGTCTGTATGTTTCTGACAGGAACCAAGTCTGTATGTTTCTGACAGGAACCAAGTCTGTATGTTTCTGACAGGAACCAAGTCTGTATGTTTCTGACAGGAACCAAGTCTGTATGTTTCTGACAGGAACCAAGTCTGTATGTTTCTGACAGGAACCAAGTCTGTATGTTTCTGACAGGAACAAAGTCTGTATGCTTCTGACAGGAACCAAGTCTGTATGTTTCTGACAGGAACCAAGTCTGTATGTTTCTGACAGGAACCAAGTCTGTATGTTTCTGACAGGAACCAAGTCTGTATGTTTCTGACAGGAACCAAGTCTGTATGTTTCTGACAGGAACCAAGTTTGTGGGTTCGCAGAAATAGTGGCGGCCTCTAGAGGCCGTGCGAAGTGGTCCAAGGAATATTGCAGATACGGTAGTCAGTTTAACACGTAGAAGGCTTTCGCCACCAATATTATTCATAATAAACGTTTTTGGGTTATATCGCGTTATTTCTAAATGTGTCGTAACCCTCCACCACCCGACACGGCCAATCAGCAAAAAAGTGTCACGTTGACAAAAGACAAATAGTTCACTACTTTAGCCCACCGGGGTGTTGAAGAGTGAATCCACAACATTCTAGCGAATTGCCCGATGATGCTGGAGGTAATTACCAGCGAAAGGTCGTACTCAAACTGTAAATGTTGTGGATTCACACTGCAACACAACGGTGGGCTACAGTAGTGAACTATTTGTCTTTTGTCAACGTGACACTTTTTTGCTGATTGGCCCTACCGGGTGGTGGAGGGTTACGGCACATTTATAAATAAAGCGATATAACCCAAAAACCTTTATTATTAAGATACGGTACTATTTTTCTTCACAAAAAACCAGATTTATTATTACAACGTGGCGGCCCGTGACATTTTTGTTTGAGAGGTGACACTGGTCGTATGTATGTTGAACTTCTTTCCCACCGTACGTAACCAGCCGTGCTAATGGGAGGTGCGGGGTAAGGACAACACTAAAAGCAGTCGATGGAGACAGAACCACTGTGATATCTCGTTACCTTTTCACCCGGTTCTCTGCTTTTCTACCACACGAAGCCAAACAACCATCAAAAGATCTGGAGACACATCCTAATTCAAACATTTTCAAACATCCTAATTTAATTCAAATCCTAATTCGAGTCCTTCAGCCCAGACCAGCCATTTACTAACTTGTCGGTATCACCTAAAGGTGGCGTAACTTTTAGCGGTTCCTATTTTGTTTAGGGGCCAACGCCAGCGAAGTATGCGAGCACTTGAAAATGAGTGGGTTTATAAAGTACTGTAATTAGCTTCAATTAGCCGTATATATTGTACATGTTTACGACTAAAATGAGTTACCTTTTGTGGTACCAATTTCGGCTCTGGCCCATGGGCGAAACGGAGTAGAACTCTCCTGCAAATTATTCTTAGTGCTCAATATGCCCATTAAAGATTATCAATCATTACAGTATGAGAATCGAGGTGAGAGGTAACTTACATGCACTTGATACACGTTTAAAAAAGCAAGATTTGAGTTACTCGCGCTATCTAAACGTAGTTATGTAGTTACGTCGTTTCTCCTGCGTCTGATCTTAATCAAGGGTTTCCAAAATGGCCGCGTTTGAAATTCGCGGAGGGAGCGGTGGCGCGGTGGTTAGCGCACTGCGCTGTGAGCCCTGGCGCGCCCGGTTCGATCCCTAGGCACGGCCACCAACTTCAGTGGATATGCGTTAAATTCTAAACGAATCGGTCCTGGGGTGCCTGCCACTCTCACCAACCCGCAATAACCAAGCGTGGTGAAGTATGGGCTTTAATGCAATAGTAAATTTACACGGAGGGAACCACATCTCAAGTGGGGGCTGTTTGAGCATACTTCACCATGCTGTTCAATGCGAGTTTGTGAGTGGATGCGGCACCGTTAAAACGTTAAGTTAAATCAAAGTATAGTCGTAGATTATTCTCTACACTGTGGCCAGATATGTAACTTTATTTTCGAAATGAAGATCGGTCACGTGTACGAGGTCCGGCTTAATCTCCGGCGAGTCTTATAATCCGGATTGAACACAGATGCCGTGTTATTTAATCGACAAAAGTTTCACCTTTGGCTGTTGATCTCGACGGCATGGCGCGTGGCTTTTGGGTTACCTGCGGGTACGGAAGCCGACACGCGTAATGCGACGATAAACGAATCGCGGTTCTCGTGTAAATCGTCTTTTTCCAGATTATAAGACGCACTCCTCCAGCCCCCCAGCGTTTTACAGCAAAAGTTGGGGGTTCGTCCTATAATCGTTTATCTCGGTGTGACCGACCAGATTAGTGGAATTTTGTTGACACCAGACACGTTTGGGGTGCTTTTACTTTCTGGGGCGTCTTATGAACCGGATAATATATTACATATACTGTAATATAACGAAAAACAAGTATTGCTGAAACTTTTACTTTGCCGAGGTTCGAAAAGTAGCCGAGTTAAAGGCATACACCACCACCACCACACCCGGCCATAAACTCATCGCCACTTTCATCATCAGCAGCCACAGCTGGAACGAAAGCCGCCCCAACTCTCGCGATCCATCGATGTGACAGCCCAACTGCACCACACGAACTGATTTCATCGCCCTATCTCCTCGGTGAATGGTCCATTCGGACATTGTTATTCTTGACCATCGGTCATCATCCCTTCTACCCAGTTAACATAAAACGTTGGTCCAACTACTCCAACGTTACATGTTGACTGGGTAGGGACGCATCCTGCCCAAGCCCAGTCGTGTAAGTGACTGGTTTGACAATCGACACTTGGCGTAGAATAAATGACGCATTTCAATGTTGGATAAATTCTCCAAAATAACAACAACATATCAATGTTTGTTTTATTTTCACAACACTGGAGAAAGCCATTCCGGCAACCGTCATCGATATCACCACCATCGATACTACATTTTGACATCGCACGCACCGCGTTATTTTACATTTGCGAAGAAACCATCGAGGTCCACCACACAGGGTAGTTTCACACTCGGGCACTCTAAAAATGTGAAAATAATAACACGTGCTGGAAAATAAACCATGTACAGAGAGACGCACATGGCTATTGCTGCAGGGGGTGTCCGTTTAGAGTAGACAGCGTGTACTGTCATGTTATCTGGATAGCGCCATACCCTTGATTCTTCCATCTGAAACACTGGTTCAAAAATCTCAATGGCTATCAAGTCACTGAGCCAGTACCATCAATTTTCTGGGGTCAAAACAGGTTTCTGCGACCTGTGATGAACCCAGGCTCTCAAGTGTAAGGTGCAAACAGTATTAACCTGATAATCAAAGGTTGCGCAGGAAAAACTCCGATTACATTTGATTTTTCAATGTGACCTGGTGGCTCAGAAGTTAGAGCGTTGAGGCATCACAGCTGAGATTCGGGAGTTTGAATCAGGACAGCTGTCCATGGTTAAACCAGGTTCTCAAGTAGAGAGTTCGTGATCTCAGTCCAATCACAAATTACTGCACCGAAAAGTGTTACATTTGGTGTCTTACTTAATCTGGCTAAATTCCAGTTCTGAAAATTGAAAATATCAGTTTGCCACACAAAGAACATTCCGCTGTAAAGCAGGGTGGTGGGCAAGTGTTGCCCCCTAGTGTGGAAAATAGGCCACTTTACGAGATTTTCGAAGTAGCCCTATGATATCTCCTTCTGTGGACCGTTCTCCATCACGAGATGACCACACTGCTCTTCCAGCATTCCGAATGGATTCTTCTTTTCACATCGACAGCAGAATCAGAATTGGGAGGGGGAAAAAAAACTATTTTTAGAAAAAAAACATTGTTTCATTTGGCCTAACCAAGTTGAATGCTAACAAAATATATTGAATTCCATGTGGCAGACCACTTTGGATGGCATGAATAAGCACCATCTCTTTGTGGGTGAGTGGCTCATTTCTGTGATAACAGTAGTTCAGCGAGTCATTCCAGTGCCGTATCCTGCCTTGATAACATGCGATGTTACTCCACAATGAGAAATGTTAATCTTCAGGCTGCAGTAAAAGGACACTGCCTAACCTGGTGACCTGACTCCAGTAAAAGCACAAGTGAGATTAAAAAAAAATTGTGATAAAATAATTTCTTTGAAATTTTATCCACGAGCTCTAAATTATCGTGCTGACTTTAATTGGTGTGTCAGCTCCACGTTTCCTCCCGCCACTCAGCTCCACGATGCAAGCTTTCCTGCACGTGGGAAATGAGTCCAGATATTATAGTTTTGTTTTTTGCGAGTTTGTATCTGGGAACTCACACTGCCGGCCAGGGAATGAGTAAATGAGAGTGAGTGAGTGTACAGAAGATAGAGGGAGGTGCAAGATGAGTGCAGGGAGCTTAGGGAGATTTGAGTCTTCTGCTTGGGCCATCATCACTTGAGAAGGGACCACTTGAGCTGTTCTTTGGCCGAATAGAGAACCTGGGCAACAAGATATGATAGTGACTTGAGATCAGCACGGTTGGCTACGTATGTTGCGAAATAAGTTAAACATACATTTTATTAGTGTAAGACACACGGCCCATTTTCAATCCATTATTAGATGAAGGAATTCCCACATCGTGGCGATCATGAGGGTTATTTGCCAATACTTCATAATGCTGATCAGTACCATTTAGTGAATGGTGAAGCCAGGACTGGTTCCGATATCACTCGTCACTGGGTACAAAATGCAGTGTATGCTCCAGCCCATTAAAATACAACAATACAAATATACAAATAGGGTTTTTATATTTTCTTGGGGTGGAGTGGTGGCATGTCAATGCACTGCACTATGAAGACATCGACCTGAGTTTGATTTCCGGCCACGGCTAACTTCGTTGGCATGAGATATCTGAACCAGTCCTCAGGGGAGGCCCCAAGGCCAAAATCAAATCTAAGTTGCCCAATTTTCACCCGGTTAAACAAATAAACTTGCCTTGAACCAAAATCACCAGGATTTGGAGTGTAGTATGCCAACCACTGACACTCCACTTCTCATCGACACAAGTCAAAGCAAGAGCCACATGCATGACACCAAGCTAAAAGCGACGGCCACCGTAGTTATATTCACCTGTGCGACCGTCTGTTCTGTCAGTGGGATGTCATCCGACTAAAAAAGATAAACGGTCAACAAGATTAGTTTCTTTACATTTAAAACTCGCCGATGGATTTTAGTGATGAAGGAAATCAAGCACTCTGTAAGCAGAGCGGGCAAGAGCATTATCTGTTTCAATGCTGCTGGGGGAAGGATGACATGCGGCACAAGAGTTAATCAAGCTACCAAGTGAAATGCCTTCACACACATTGTAGCACATCGGCCGAACTGCACACCCAATCTGGTGAGGATCGGGCAATCGGCACAAATGCAAGCTTCGTGTAAAAAAAAACAACCGCAGAGTATAAATGGCACAGTGGTTACTAAAATTGGCAGTGGTTCGAACGGGCAAAGAACACATTTCTGACAGATGGGTCAGCAACCTAGTTGCTATATTATCGCATACAAGAAGGTGCAGAGTGTCGCAGTGGCGTGTTTGGCCAAACTGTCATGATAATCATGGCTTTTGCTGCCAGAACTGCATTCGCAATATTTTATTCTTCCACGTTATCTCGAATTTGCTCATGGTGTCAGGTCATGAGACAGTATGGATTAGGATCGAGTGTAATCCTTTGTTGTGAAAGCACGGCCCATGAAAGCAGATCTCACAGAGCTGCCTCTCGAGATCCTTTCCAGTGACCACTGGGGTCGACAGAAGAGGGCAGCACTTTCCTAACTGCCCTCCAACAGAAAGTAATGTTTGTAGAAACATTGATTGAAATTAAGTGCAGAAACAAATGTTCAGTCATTTTTTTGTGCACTCTTCGGTGACCAGACTGAGACTGGCTATGCTTCAGTACCTGATTTTAATCAAAGGTGACTGCCAGGATTAGAATCTTCAATCTCTGTTGTGGAAGCTGAGTGCTCTGACCTCTAACCCATCCGGCCAGATCCTTGCATGAACAGATTTTAATCCTTCCAGAGCTGTGCTTAGCAAATGTAAGTTAAAAGTCAAATTTATGAATTGATGGAATTGTTTCAATGGTTTGAAAACCTTCAAACCTACTGAACTTAAGAACCTGGTTTCATCAACCATACTCAAACAAAGCACCTCAACCATGCTGTCTTAATTGTCTCCAATATAGCTGTTAGAAACCCACTGCACCACCCAGCCTTCCCCAGTTAAACAAATTTCAGTTCAAGCAGTCACACCTGTACACCTTTTCCAATGGTACACCTGAGCTGAGCCAACACGGAGACTTCATGGTCCTGGTGATTTTCCACTGGCTATTTGCTTCGAGGGAGACTGCTGCCACTTTTTGGACACATCGCCCGTCTTGATAAGCAAACTCCAGAAAATTGCGCACTTCAGTAGGCGGTCGACGTTTTAAGTGGACTGCTACTCTCTAAGGAATGGCACCGCCCCCATAGGGGCCCCTGTGATCCGTGAAACAAATTTCCTGGAGGCGCCGGTGTATGGCAGCAAGAGCAGTTTATGCGAATGCTGTTGCAAGAGGTCACATGTTTTGCGCAACGGTCCTTCGCTGACTATGCATGATAAATTAATATTTGCCGAGGCGAGTCAGAACCAAATTGTGATATGCCGGCCTCACAACACAACTAAATCTGGCTGAAGGGCCAAACAGGGCCAGGGCCCGGGGCTAATAATATTTGTGACTGCGTGTGATATAAGCGGCTCAGCGCGGCTCAGCACGGCTCGGCTTCTGTGGTGGAAAATAACCTGGCCCAGTGCGACTAAGTTGTACCGTGGAAAATAGGTACAGAGATCATGAACCATGGTCTAGGTATACAGAGGATGGGTTAGCGGTTTCACACAGGTCTGCCTTTCTTCGTTACCATTACCTGCAGCACGCGGGGACAAGGGGACGGGCTCGGAGACACAGTACGCGTCAGCTCGATGGCTCAGTATTGATCTGAGCCAAGCAGGCATTAAACCAGCACACAAGGAAAGAAAATGATTGTGCACATAAAGCATATTTTGTTAAAGAGGCGTTCTACCTTTTAAAAATAAAATTCAGTGACCACATTGACATTGACCTACAACCTGTACAGCCGGATATAACTTTAGGACTGTTGTCATTTGCTCTGAGCACTGAATTTTAAATGAAGAAATAGCTAGGCATCTGATAAATAATAGCAGAAGAATTTGTTTCCAACTCAAAGTGACAATAACCTGCTTTAAAATTACACATCTGTACCATTGTTAAATTAGCATTTTTTTATTTAGTCAGTCTAGTCTAGTCGGCAACAACCCATGGAGTTTGAGTCTAAGTGGATTGCACTCTCTTAGTCTACTTAGTTATTAAATTAATGTTGGTGTGAGGGGTGTGTAAGTAACGTTCACCCCTCTCAATACTGTCAGTGAACTCAGTAAATATTTTTTATACACAAATAAGATAATTAGCATGTGTGTTCTTCCTCAATGCACCACATCCTCAAATAATGTTACTAAATCATACTATGCTGCATCATCATTCAGACTAGTTCACTTCATCTTATTATAGCCAGTCATGCTTTGCTGTTTGGTAGGCTTGTCGAGCCGAAATAGATTTGTCTACGAATGGTCATCACTGATAAAAATAAAAAATACCACTTTTGTTGACAAATATTTTTGTCACTTATTTTCTTCACAAAATTAAGACTGGCGTGTTTACTTTATCTGCTTGCTGTGTATGAGACACAAGTCAAGTCAGCGCCGCCGTCTCTCCCTCATGGTGGCCTGGTCTCAGAGTCTATAGGGCAGCGTTTCTGAAACCTGTTTGGCCCGCACACCACTCAGCCGATGAAAACATTTACCCTCACTTCAATTAAATATAAGTAAAATATTAATTCATGTCTGAAACAAAAGGTATAAACGTCATTATTTCCGGATCAACCTGCATTTGGATCAGCCCACGGACCACATGGAGGAGCGTCGCGGACCACTGGTGCTCCGGGGACAACACTTTGAGAACCACTGCTCGAGGGTGATGCATGGGGTCATGATTATTATGAAGCCACTGGAGCTATGCACTTATAAATCTAGATTGAAAACCCATTTCTTTATAATTGCTTTTTGTGTTTAGTTTGTTGTCCTTCCCCGCACCTCCGATTAGCACAGTTGGCTACGTACAATGCAAAAGAAGTTCAACATACATACATACACGAGTGAAAAAGCACGATGTCAAGCTTGCGGCCCACCGAGGTGAAGGAGGGCCGCTCAAGTGGCCCACTTACTCATCTATAGGTTGCCCATCACTGTTCCATAGGAATGATCACTATCGACTTTACAAAGAATGGTACTGTAAAATAATCTATTGACGACAAAAATATGCAGCAACTTTATATTTACCGAAGAAACATTACAAATTTAAGCGTTATTGAAACCACTGAGCAAGCAACGACGCTCAAGGAAATTGCCTGTAATTGTTTTCCACGCAACAATATTAGCCCAACGCAGCCAACCTACACAGCAGGAAAATCAATCACTCGTTCGTGAATATTCATTTAATTTGTTTATCAAATGACGCACAGGTTAGGACAAGCAAGTAAAGGTGGCATGAATACTACCAGAAAAAAGGGATGCAATTGGTTTATAACTTAAAGGGCATTTGGTTTGGTAAAGTGTGGGTGCCATCACCTCTTCCAGAAGTCTGAGGGGCGTAAAAATATGAAGCAAATTATGTGGAAGGGCTCTCTAGAGCTCCCCCAGCAGTGGCGTGAGCAAGCAGTTTCAGGGCTGCACCTTTACCCTTTAGAGTTTATTAGATTGCATAACGCATCTAATTCTTTATTTACCCAGGAAAGCCCAAGTCTTGGGACTTTTTAAGGAAGACCATGCTTTAGAAGGTTTGGCCAATACCTGTTTGAACTTTTATTATCATGTGTGAGAGGCAACTAGGCTTGCATGCATGTGGCTCACGACTGATGTTAGCCATAAGCAAGAATCGAACTTTGGTCGGCAGGTTCGTAACCTAGAGTGCTAACCACGCACTAACACTCTACAAAGACAAAGATTACCCGTTTAGGCATAGCAGACAATAGGAGCAAGTGCTGTTAGCGAGCACCTATGAAGGCCGGCATGGCACACGAGGGCGTGGGTAGCCAGCACAATGCCTGGGCACCTGTCTCCTTTGTGGCAATGTTTACACACCACACCCGGCACTCATTTGAGGCTGAGTCGACCTAAGGAAGGCCCAGGACCGGTTCAGACAATTGTCACTGGTGTTGGTGGCCATGAGCGGCAATCGAACCCGAGTTGCCGAGTCCATAGCGCAGCACGCTAAGCGCTCCCCACTACCACTCTACACACAAACACATGCACATGGGCTCAGACATATACAAGCTCATGCCACTCTGCACTGCACTAAAGGTTAGAGAGAAAAAAAGCACCAAGGAGTGAAGTAGAGGGGAGTGGGAGCCCAGGTTACCTTGCTGGCCAGCAGATCTAAGAGAACAAAGCCATACGGCCCTTCAGAGACATCCAGCTGTAGGTGCGTACGGTAAGACACACATCACACACACACAGGTAAAACGTTGTTGCTTATCTGCAAATTCTCCACATTCGCGATGCTGTGCTAGAACCTCACCGTGGATAAGAGGAGTTACGCCGTAGTGATCGGTCAACCAATATTCAGTGCTCAGGATCCCGGTTACTATGGGTGTTAATGCTGAATTGGTAAAGCTGGAATGTGGAGTAGACTGGTGATGGCTTACCCTGAGAGACACCCTCTGCATGACCTGAAGGGGGTCACTCTCCAGAACCACCCTGCATATCGACAATGACATACACGCATGCAGACACACGCAGACACATGTACACACTGATAAGACAAAGATCCCCCGTATAACCTTAACAGACTGTTTGGGCAAGTGCTATTAGCAAGGAGCACCTATGAAGGCCGGCACAGCACACGATGGGGTGTGGGTGGCCAGCACCATGATAAATAAATATGCAAACACCACATGCATAAATACATCCATACACACAAAATAAAATGGTAAATAACTGCAGAAATATGTTAATGTGCATTAAAATACTTCTTACATATAACACATTAACATTTTCACAATAAATATTAAACCCGTTTACTGCTGTTGGATAATCTTTTGATCGGCATTTCTTCACGAGAGGCATTAAACAGCACTGGAGGCACTTGCCATGTTTTACGCTCAGGGAAGGCATTAGTATTGTCTATTCCTGTATTCTCCAGATTTATAATACACTGTGGAGAGTACACTGCACCCCAAATGTGTGCCCAGTGTCAATTAAGTTATACAAATTTTGGTCACACGCATTAACACTCAACCTCCCAGGTTATACAGAGGTGCATCTTTTTATCAAGAGAATATACTATTTACGTTGATTAGAATTAATTCATTGCAACCTACCCGCCATCAACGATTTCATCCACCGCCAAGAAAACAGCATCCATGTTTTCCATCAGAGCTCGCTTCTCGACATTTTTCCTGCAGGGGTTTAAAAAAAAATTTGCACCGCGTTTCCGCAAACAGAGAGCGCATGACACGTCGGATACTTCAACAGGTGCACCCCACCCAATGCACAATGTTGCCTACTGCATTCATAACCCGCACGTTAAAGTTGACTCGATAAAAATTAGGCAATGCTTCCAAAATGGTGTAATGGTTATAGCGCATTGGACTTGCAATCCAGAGCTCACTGGATCAACTTGGGGGCACAGCGGTGACGAGATGTAAACTACTTCGCCTGGTATGCTGTATATTTGGAATATACGCATTTTCCCTGTGGCTGCATGGATTTTTCTCCGGGTCCTCCGGTTTTTCCCGCCACATTTAGAATTAGAGTGTGGTTAGAGGTTACTATAAATTTCCACATGATAAGCCTTTGGTGACCAGGGCGCTTCTGAAAAGGAGCTACATAGCTTAGTGGGGCTTACCTGGTAAAATAAAAAATAGTTTAGTTTAAACAGTTTTTAATTCGATCTCCCCGCACAGCAGATGAAACAAAGATTTTTAAATATGCCCTGCCTCTCTCGACACAGCAGTTTAAATGGGTACACCTGTTAGCCTATTGGCAGTTTGCATATGGTGGAGTAACGTGGAGGTACTCCCATCCTCTTCCAAGATGTGTGACCAGCATGGATGAGTCAGCCAAAATAGCTACGAGAGGAGGACTCTCGAGCTACCTCCAGTGCAGGCCCTTGCAGACATGTATTCAGACTTACTATTTTTATGATTAGATTTTTTTTTTTACCAGGTAAGGCCCACTGAACTATATAGCTCTTTTTCATAAAGCATATTGGCCACAAATGATAGCTCAACAAAGTGACTTATCAACTGGAAATTTATAGCAGCCAAATCCTCTAAACGAATGTTTCTACATGTGGAAAATAAACCGAAGGACCCAGAGAAAAATCCACACGACCACGGGGAAAACATGCAAACTGCAAATATAAATGCATCAGGATTGGGATCGCATCCACGACCTTGTGCATACCAGGCGAGGGAGTTAATAGCTCAACACCGTGGCACCCCATTTATGATACTGCAATCATAAATGCCCTTTGATTAAGGGTGATTAGTGATGGGTAAAGTGAGCTGCCACACTTACCTGAACATATGTCCCAGAGACTCCACCAAGCAGCTGAGGACAGTCATGAGCATCAGCTGCAAATGGCAAAGATAACAGTGATCATGCTTTATAGCCGGGAGAGATGGTTGAAGCGCTTTGGGAAAACTGAACAAGATAAGGAAAAGCAGCATTGGCAATGTGAATAAAGTTTTAAATGAGTGCAATTACCCACTATGGCATTTGGAACAGAATATAGAACAAAAGCCAAATGGTGTACACAGTAGCCTGAAGAGGTGCACGCTTGAGATTACACCGAGAAAGAGGAACACTTGGACAGAAAGAGGAATACATGGATCACAGAGCAACTACAAGTCAATGACATCACACTGACTTAACGTAAATTTAATTTAGAGGCGTGGCACCCTTGTTTTTAAAGACATTGTACTCACCGCAGAGAACTGTTGCGACACGACCGCACTCTACGATAGCTGGCACCAAACTGTGCCACACGCCCTCCTGCATGACCTTTTACCTCCGATTCCGTTCCGATGATGTACTTGTACGAACATGTACGTCAAAAGAAAAACTGATGATGTAAATGTACGTCATTGGAACGGGAAAGGATTAAGAAAAGTAAACAGGCTTGAGAAGGATGCATCGCAAAGAGGGATGCTAACCGGTGGTCAAGACTGACGAGGGAGGGGCAACCAAAGGAGACTACACGTCGACAGGACATACGCAGAGCAGATCCAGCAATGCAATCAGTTTGCGTGCAGGAGCTAGACAGATGGAATTGTTGCGTAGCAAGACCATGTGGGATAGATTGGGGAGGCCTTCATCCAGCAGTGTTAATAGAAGATGATGATCATCATCATCATGATGGTGGCACTGATATAGCACTGCTTGGGTATCCACCTCATAATTAAACTAGGTTATATTGTGTTGAGTTGTATGTATGTAGAACTTTCATCACAGTATTGTCAGACATTTTAATATTAAAAGTTTACTTTGAGCAGACTACGGATCTGGCCCTGAAGACAAACCTATTTAACTAAAAACTATTAAATTATTTATTTTACCAGGTAAGGCCCACTGAGCTATTAGCTCTTTTTCAGAAGCGAACTAGCTACGAATGAATGCTCAATCAAATGGCTTATTATGTGCACATTTATAGCAGCCAAATCATCTAAACACGTTTCCAAATGTGGAGGGGAAAACGAGAGGACCCAGCGCAAAATCCACGCGACCACGGGGAGAACACGCATTTTCCAAATATACAGGCCTCAGGGTTGGGATCAAAACCACGAGCGCCTGTATACCAGGCGAGGTAGTTAACATCTCGTCACCATGATGCCCACAAAGGGGCTCTGCATCCCTGTGTCGGTGGTAAAGTCTCAACATCCAAGTACAAGCAGAGATGGGGTCAGAGGGCTGTGTGGTCACCTCGTTCTCCTGGGGGCTCCCGATGACGTAGAAGTAGAGGTCGACGCTGCTCTTGTAGACGACGGTGAGGCCCTCGAGCAGCGCTATCTCGCCTGTGCACACACGCGCACGCGTGTACGTGTGAGTACACGAATATATGGGCAGGTACAAAGACAAGTGTTGTTAGCAAGTATCACCTATGAAGGCAGGCACAGCACACAAGTGGGTGGGTGGCCAACACCACGCCTTTGTCTCCCTAGTGGCAATAAGTACATGCCACACCAAGCACTCATTTGAGGCTGTGTCAACCTAGGGGAGGCCCAAGATCCGTTCAGATAATCGTCACTGGTGTTGGCTGTGAGCAAGAATCGAACTCGGATCGTCGGGTTCGTAGCGCAGCTCGGCAACCGATCCCCGATGGGCAGGTACACACACATGCATGCACATGTGCATGCAGAAACAAAAAACAAAAGATCTCCCATGTAGCCTTCACAGACTGAGAGATTTGGCAGATGGCACAGCCACTTGGTGGCGGCCATTAGATAAAGCAATAAATTGAACAAATGATGTTCATGTACAACCAAACCCTTTGGTCAATTAACTGCCGGATGAGGGCCTCCCTATGCCTGTGCGGGTCATGAGGGTTATTTGACCATACGTTGCTATGCTGGTCAGTGCTGGTTGGTGAAGGCGGGGAGCACAAATGTTGCAGCATAGTACAGCAAGAAAATAGATTTGTTGCATTGCCCTCTGCTGATAAAACAGGAGTCCACAAAAACTGTTTTGTGCACAATGGTTACCCATCCAAGCACTATCCAGGCTACATCATGGGACCTCCTTTTCCAGTACCAAAATATGAGAAAATGTTTTCCCCTTTTTTTCTGGCAACAAAACAGGCGTTAAGATTTAGATTTAAAGCTTTCTTGACTGCAGGGATTCATATTCTTGGTTCTTTCGGTAAAGTCACGTAGAAGGGAAACAATAAAATAATAAAAATATAAAACAATAAAATTCTCATCAAGAAAATTTGCTGTGGTTTTCACACCTGATGATGATTGCTTGTGTTGCAGTCGAAACGTCGTGAGAATTTTATTGTTTTATATTTTTATTCTTTCCCTTCTACGTGACTTTACCGAAAAAAAACAAGAATATGAAAAATTTCAGTTTGGTGTTTTAACATCTTAACACCTGTTTTGTTGCCAGAAAAAAAGGGGAAAACCTATTCTCACAGTCCAGGCTCTCCCCTGCTTTGCTTCTGAAATCTGACGAGACTGAGTGCATTCCAGATTATTTGCTCTTATTTGCAATGAACATATAATCCGTATTAATTTGTTTACCCAAAAAAGCTTTGCCAAGTCTCTTGTTTTTCTGCAGCAACCTGCTGTGGATGATTGGCAAATTATTTTGTTGGAACATATTTTGTGTGCGTGGGAGCAAGCAGAAGTGCCCGGAGAAAAGCCAAACACAAGAGGATATGACAACACTCTCGATACAAGTCAAAAAACTACTTGCTGTACTGTCTCATATAACTTTAACGAGGTGATAAGTAAATTAGATGATATATTTTACAGAAGTTCTCAGTAACAAGATTACTTTACTTCAGGAATGTTCTTGAGAAGTTCCCTGCGTAATGGCAGTTATTACTTTTTAACAAATGTATTTAGCGCGGCAGGTGAGATTTCTACCATGAGCAGCAAATGGAACATATTTAAAGTGCAAAGAAGCACGCAAATGTGCATGTTCGGGACCATACTGGGAGACATAAAGAGGAACAAAATCATCAGGAAGCACAAGTTAGAGTCGTTACATTGATGTCGCTAGCAGGGCTTACGGCCAACGGTAGAGACTACTGACACAGCCGCAGTCAAGAGAAGGAACATGCCCGAGTTTATCCGTCATGGAGATGTAATGGTTAGCATGCAGGAACTAGATGGATTGTTGCATCACAAGACCAGAAGAGATAGCGATAGCTTACAGAGACCTTTGCAGTGGCTAGATCGTGGCTGTTGCTGCTGCTGCTAAAAATTATGAGTTTGTGCAGGCTGTATTGTGTCCTGAGGGTTAGGGTACAATGTGAACAGCACTTACTGTCAGTGCGGTGTGTTTTGTTAAAAATGTTTTTCTCAAATGTCTTCTGCTCCTTCACCGATGGGTATGTGTCATCATAGTACTGGAATGCACACAAGCACAGGCACGCACAGACAGAGGGAATTCACGTCACACACATTTACTTCCCAATGATAGATCCCGGGCGAGTCAGTGTAAGCGCAGCATCCTTCCGATGCATTGCTCACATACCAAGCTCCAAGAGTTACCTTCTGGGCACAGCTTTAATGGCATGTGTTATATAACATTATTAACCCAGTAATAACTGCTCTTTAGAATCAGCTGAAAGCATATTGAGAGTCTCAATTGTAAGGGCGAGTTAGGTTAAAATATAAAATTTGTTGTACAGAAATTATGTGCAAAATATTGTAAATGAAACTAGACTGGCAAAAGAAAACAAATTAAATTCAGTTACCAGAACGCTTTTATCAATCAATTGCAAGATTTATTTGACCATACTTCACCACAATGGTCAGTGCGGGTTGGCGAAAATGAAGACCACAGACGTTATGTTATATAAATACAATACTGTACAACAATGTATTTTTCTGCAATGCCCTCTGCTGCCCAAACATAGAAAAATAATAAATATCCTAAAAAAGTGCTAAACGTTGTGATTACATTTTACATTGTACAGAACATAGGTGACAATTTAAATTACATTTTAATATGATGTTCGTTTTAGTTTAAAAAATGGTTAGAGATTTGGGTTTAACAAGCTGGCTGAAATCAAATATTTGGCATACAAGGGTCAGTGGGAGGACAATACATACACGCCTTATTTAAAAGATTATGCAACCTTTAAGAAACAGGCTAGGACAGTGGTGGGGAACCTTTGGCCCATGGCTGGATATTGTCCGAGGCTTTAGTTCATACACCCCATGGCTGCTTGGGGCCTGCCTCGTCTAAAGGCCCACATCAGTCACTGCAAGCACAAATCCAGTACTACAGGTGAATATTTTCGACTTGGCAAAAATGTGTTTTTAATATTCAGGTTAAAATAATTTCTGTAGTTGCAAGGCCCTCTTGCAGTGACAGATGTGAGTGAGGTATGTGAATGTGTAGTTGCCCTCCAAAAGTATTCTGCGCTCAGTACGAAAAACGTTATCCACCTCTACATTAAGACCACAAACCAGCGTCAAACTAGTTGCACATTTTTCTCAGATGAATACCCAGCTGATGCTGCCTCTGGGTTCCCGAGTGAGGTTACCTTCGCGTAGAGTCGCTCCCCATCATTGTCCAGGATTATGATGGCTTTTACGGTGTACAGAGAGGGCTCCTGTCGGGACACATCAAGACAGGCAGATACCATGTCAGACAATAATTTGTTGGAGAGACACAGTCAGAATAGGTTTTGCCCTTTCTGGAAATAAAACAGGTGTTTAAGATGTTCAAACACCAGAACCTTTTTCAAGGCATCAAGTCTGCATTAACCGCACGTGATTGCGGCAAAATATAAAAACACAAGGACGTGTGGTTAATGCAGACTTGATGCCTCACAAAAGGTATTTGAGCATCTAAACACTTGTTTTATTGTCAAAAATGGCAAAACCTATTCTTATGTTTGATATGATACTGGCAAAAAAGGTCCCATAGATAGTCAGATATTCAAACACAGAGACAACAACACAGATAAACAGACAGCTAAATACAACAAAGACTGCTCTTTGGGGAGACACTCATAGATATATGGAACAGAGAGAAAAAACGACAAGACAGTCAAAAGGACATGTAGACAGGCAGACTGGCAAGAACAAACACAAATATAAACAGAGATAGCCAAATATTGTAGACAAATAGTGACTGCCAGACATAACAGGATATACAACCAGGCAGGCAATCGGTTATCAGGAGATACAAAGACAATGAGACACATGCAAAAAGACGGCAACAAAGGCATAACATTTACTCTTTCTGCTGAGTGAGACCTCATTGAAATGTATTATCTCTGATGGGGCTGATGAATGTTCTGCATTCCTGAGGCCGAGTCGACCAGGGAATTCCAAGTCAGATTGATAAACCAAGAACCACTGGAGAATAATAGTGCAACCGATTGTTTTGAGCATGATGTGGATTATTCCGTTATAATCGGGTGTTATCGTCATTTACAGATTTGAAGCATGATGGCTACCCATCGAACAAAGACGGTCATGCATCTCGCGCTTTCAGATGTGCTTCTGGGGCCGTCTGGCACGCTCTTCCTTCCGATATTAGGGAGCCACTGGAGCTATGCACTTGTAAAACTACGTATCGTGCTAAAAAAGTTCAACATATACACACACATGATGCACACGCCTGCGCTCCAGCGCTTTGGAGGCGAGGGTTAGTGGATCACGTAGAGATTCGTGAAACTTCCAAATCCACTGGGCTTGATGGCGGTCAAGAGACTGTCGGAGAAAGATGAGTGGCTGTACAACAAATAGATTCTTGAATAAATCTGTGGTGAGCTTTGAATGTTTTCCCCTCTCCGTGAGCTTGCCGAGTTTTCTCCAGGTTCACCCGTCGCGACACGCGGCTAGAACTAATTAAAAAAGGGACCTGGAAAAAGCAAGCCCATGCAGGACCTTCCTACGAACATTATTGATACTCGGTGAGGCTTTACTGGATAAACGAAGTACATTCTTATGATTGTTCTTCCTCTGTCACACGATCACACCAAGACCCACGGACGCGCGAGAGCGGTGTCCTAAGCGAGCGGTGTACAATTACAAGTTTGGTTGCACTATGCAGGACCCTCTGCGACAGTATAACATAGAGTTACGATAATGAGTTTAACACGTAGGCTTAACTCATTACGATGAGTTTATGTGATTGTACCGAGCTACAATTCTCTGGTAATGATTGTATGAGTTAATAGCTACTGTACCGAGTTGTGCTATAGAGTTGAAGTATACAGTACGGTGCTGAATTAGTTAATGGCACACGATCCAGTTAGAACACAATAACTATGACCCACTAGTTATTATAAGCCAGTACAGTGACTATGAATCACATCTCTTAAAATAGGAATAATTTTAAGTCGCGAATTGACACAATGTGACCGGACACCACCAACCATGTTTCGATAACTGAACAGCAAAGCGCATTAACACAACGGCGTAGCAAGCACAACGTAACGTGTAGCTTAAGCATTCATTAACGACACCAAATTTAATCACAATTATAATTTTAAACAATGACAATTCGCGAAACCAGCGAGGCTGCGTTACCATGACGCCTGGACCAGGCCTTGGGACCAGGAACCGGGGACCGGTCCCGCGTCCCGCCACACCGTTGGTTGAGCCACCAGCCAATCGCATCGCGTTCTTCCCGATCGCGCGCGTCCCGTCAGCCAATCGCGCGTGACCTCCGCACATGTTGGCTCCGAAATATAATGCGTGTGTCGCGCTAAGTTACACGCTCGGCTATTGGTCGAATTCTAGATTTGAAGCTTTCGTGACTGCAATGATTCATACTCTTTGTTTTTTTCGGTAAAGTCACGTAGGTAAAATAAAATAAAAGAAAGCAACTAAATTAAATGCATGCAACATGCACTGGTTAGGCACTGTCTCACCAACACTTACTTTACCTGGAATGGTACCTTCGACAAACAAAATGAGGGTACCCCATATGGGCTCCCCCTTGTCATAGTTCATAGTTCATTTATTTGGTATAGCCCTGTGAGCCATTCGGCTCTTGAATCGGGTGCAACCGCAACAAACAAAAAACATGAACAAGAAAACGTCTTAAAGTGATTATGTGACTGTGCAAACAGAAAATACAGGAAAAAAATATCAAAATATTCCTGAAATAGCACCGTACACCAACGCTGTGCGCAAAAATCCCAGTGGGATGCAAGTCAAAATAACAACAACAACCACAAGACAACTAAGATTAAGGCCATCAGTCAACTCCGTACTACAATAAACAAAAACATGGCCAAAACAAAAAAAACTTTTCGAAATCACCAAAATAAATGCCATAAATCCAATGTAACAGTGATCATAGGGACTGTGACCGAATTTTTTACAATAAACTACATAAATTAATTATAACACCAAAATCTAGAGCCATATTTTAGGCCACTGAATAGCAGTGGCAGCTAGGGTTGTACAACTCCTCTAGAGCAGTTTTGAGTGAAGATCTCATAGGTAGTGATTCAAGTTGCAGTTTATTGGCAATAGCATTCCAGACCCTAGGGGCATCAATAGCAAAGGCCCTTCCTCCAGTTTTAGTACAGCAATAGGGAATGTGAAGCTGGTAAATGAGCAAAGGCCTGAGGTCAAATTTGTTCTTTGAAACAGAAAGGAGATCCAGTAGGTAGTCTGCGGAATTTTTTGATAGCCTGTGTTTTCATGGAGAAATTTGAATCAGACGCCATCCAGACATCCACCCTTCGCCCTTCCCTATGGAAGAGATGTGGATGACACTTTCGTCATTTGGCCACATGGCTTCCCAGCATTGAACCATTTCCTAGACCACATTAATTCCAGACATCCCGCCATCAAATTCACCGTGGAAGTGGAGAAAGATAGCAAGCTGCCATTCTTGGATGTTCTGTTTGAGAGGAGGACTGATGGATCTTTGGGACATTCTGTTTACAGGAAGCCCACTCACACAGACTCCTTGAAGCCTGATTCCCACCACCACCCGACTCAAAATAACTCTCTCATCAAAACATTATACCATAGGGCTCACTGCATTTCTGACCAGCACCACTAGGCCAGTGAATTAAAACATGTACATCTGACCCTCAAGATAAACGGATACTCTGACCGTACCATCCACCATGCTGTTTCTCCCACCATACAGAAACAACCACCTGATACTCCGATCAAAATCATCACGTTACCATACATAGCAGGTGTTACTAAAAAGAGTTCCAAAATTCTAAACAAACATTAATTTAAACACATCAATAGGAATTCCATTTGGCCCCACTGCCTTTTGATGTTTCATGCTCCCCAGAGCCTCCACTACCTCTTCTCTGGTAATAGTGTCTGCAACTATACTCTTTGGTTCTTTCGGTAAAGTCACGTAGGTAGAAAAATAAAATAAAAATTATATATAATGACGTTTCGATCGAAACACAAGCAGTGGAACTGAGGACGACCACTTATGTTGCGATTGAAAAGTCGTGATATATTATTTTTTTGTTATTTTTCTACCTACGTGACTTTACCGAAAGAACCAAAGAGTATGGATTCCTGCAGTCACGAAAGCTTCAAATCAAGATATCTGCAAATACTTCAATTATTTGATGTTCTTCGTCTTGGTTCTTTCGGTAAAGCCACGTAGAATGGAAATAAAATAATAAGATTAAAACAATAAAATTAAATTCTCACGACGTTTCGGCCACAACACAAGTAGCCTTATGAGACCTCCTTTGCCAGTAACAAAATATAGTAATAGGTTTTTACCCTTTTAGCTGGCACAAAAACTGACACCTTTATACAAGGGATCATGTTTGCAATAACCACAACACAAGCAGTCAAAAATGCAAACAAAAAGAAACAACTCTGATAATGATATGCACTGTACTTGAATTTGATTGGTCCACCCCGAGACGGCTTTTCTTAGAGCCTAGTCTCCACTGGTGTTGGACCAGATGACACCATAAGGCGTACAACTCAAAAACAGCGCACTATCAGAGTACTGAGAGCTCGGGGTAAGCCTTTACATTATAAGACCTCCTTTGCCAGTAACAAAATATAGTAATAGGCTTATTATTAAATAATACATATTACAATTCCTTATAGGGGAAACACATTAATTAACGGATTACTAATGTAGCATATAATCACAATAACACACATTACAACTAATTACTAATCTACAACTCATTACTAATCATAACCATTGACTGATTACCAATCGATTATATAATTACAATACCCCCCCCCTCCGCCTCAAATCACTGCACCTGAAATTAGTTAAATGATGACGTCACCCTGCTGCTCTATTTAAGACCGAAAGCAAGTGAGGGCTTTACCATTCTGGCAAATTGCCCGATGATGCTGGATGTAATTACCAGCGAAACGTCGTATTCAAACTGTAAATGTTGTGGATTCACTCTTCAACACACCGGTGGGCTAAAGTAGTGAACTAATTGTCTTTTGTCAACGTGACACTTTTTTTGCTGATTGGCCGTGTCGGGTGGTGGAGGGTTACGACACATTTATAAATAACGCGATCTAACCCAAAAACCTTTATTATGAATAATATTGGTGACCAAAGCCTACCTGTCAAAATCTTGTATAACATTAAATAGTATAAGTGTAATGTTTAACATAATTCATAAGGCAATATATAGTATCGTAATTGTATAGTGAATATACAGCAGTGTGGTATACAGTAGGGTTGGTAGAATAATACATAGTGTAATATTACAAGTCTAATATTTTATAGTCTAAAGTATAGGGCAGTGTATAGTAACGCTTTGTATAATTCAAGGGTCGGGTTTGTCTATGGCAGTGTATATTACGGTGTATAGTCGTGTAATTTAGAAAAAAAGTTTAGTTGGAGGCATGTCAATATAATGCATAATGTTAGAGCTTACATTGGGCTGTGTATACGATATTATACAATGTAGTTTAGATTGGAAGGTATAATATGGTAATGTATAGTAGTCTAGTTTATAGCATAGTTGTAACGCAACACAGGACAGAGCAGCGCATCGTGGCTGTTTCTCCCTCTCCCCCCTCCTCCGTTCCGAACATAGATGGACTCGTCCGTTTGAACAAAGTTCGTCGCTTTCCATGGTGCTAATCTCCCAGTTACATGCTAATTTCTGACTTTAACATCCTGCTAATCCAACACATTAACACAGCTATTTCAATGCTAAATGCTTCTGTTGATATGTAAATTACTTCGTCAAGGCGCTCTGCTCCTCCCACCCAGCTTAAAAGACGTTGCCAACTTGGCAGTGTTCACTAAAGCGCTGTCTTCCCGACAGTTCTGTTTCTTCACCTGAGGAAGGCTACTTGTGTTGTGGTTGAAACGACGTGAGAATTTTATTTTATTACGTTTTTTTATTATTATTTTATTTCCCTTCTACGTGACTTTACCGAAAGAACCAAGAATATGAATCCCTGCAGTCACGAAAGCTTTAAATCAAAATTCATGAAAAATTGTTCATCCTTGACTGTTCTTAATGAGATTCACATGGTGGGTGTCCCTGGTATTTCTCTCTCTGGCACTTGCCAAACGGTATACCATATTCTCGCCTTCTAGGCTGTCAAGCTTCTTGTCGAGTTGTGTAAATGCTGTTTTTTGCCATTGCTACCACTCATTTTGCCTCTCTTCTTGCTGCCAGGTATTCATCCAGATGGTCCTTCTCTCTCGTGTACTGTCACTTCTTAAACTTGGCATTTTTCTGTCTTGTTGCCTTTTGCACGTCATCACTCCACCACCATGTTTCATTATATTGCATCTGTCTTCCTTTGCTCACTCCCACTGTACTACCTGCTGCTTTCAGTATTCCACTTGCCAGTTGTTCCCATATGTCAATCACGCTCCCCCGAGGCCTTACACTTTTTAAATTCTCCATAACTTGTCTGCATAAGTTTTCTTTCTCATTGCTTAGTCACCACCACTTCACCCTGCTACAGTTACTTTGTCTCAACTTCCTCTTCCTAACTCCTTTCACGATTAGTCTATGTTGTCCAGTCACACACTCTCCAGGGATCACTTTCCAGTTCTTCACTCCTTTCAGGTGCTTCCTCCTCACCAAAATAAATTATATCTGGCTCTTCACCTCCCCACTCTGGTAAGTCATCAAATGTCCCTCCTGCTTCTGGAAGTAGGTATTCGAAGAATGTCCTCACCTCCCCCATTCCTCCTGCCATATCCGCATCCTCTATGGTTCCTTTCATATCCGTCCTTGTCTTTTCCCACTCTTGCATTTAAGTCTGCTCCCATCACCACTGCTTGATCTACCGGTAAGCTCTGAAACTCCTGGTTTAAGCTCTCCAAAAATGCATCCTTCTCTTGCCCACTGCAGCCCATTTGCGGGGTATATGCACACACCACATTTACAACCCCGCTGTCCATTACTCGTCTGACTATCATCAGTCTGTCATTCACTCTTCTGACTTCCACCACTTTTATCTTCATCTCCTCACTCAAGACAACTCCAACCGCATTTCGCAATGCTGTTGTTCCATGGTATAACACTTTAAACCCACAGCCAATCTCTTTCGCTCTGCTGCCTTTCCATTTTGTTTCCTGGATGCATGCGATGTCGACTTTCCTCCTCAAGAAGTCCGCTAATTCCTGACCTTTTCCTGTCATTGTCTCAATATTCCATGTGGCCAACCTTATCTTCCTCCCGAACAACTTTCTGCTCTTTCCATTTGCTTGCTCCATCTTGATATGTGCAACGTACAGGTCTGCACTCCCAGCAGTGGCAGAGGCATTGGGTCCCGAGATTATTCGCACCCTCTGCACACTTAAGGGCTACGGGGGACTGAGGGCCACTTGTTTGCAAGGACTTTCCATGTTTTGGCTTTAGGGTTTTACGGCCGGTTGCCACCAGACGCCAACCCTCTTTTATCCTGACTTTGCACAGGCAAAAACACATTTCTGGTGGAGTTAATTGAAAGTTAAACTGTATAGCGTTTTAAAATTCCTGGGTGGCTCAACTGGGACACGTGGTTGATCTGCCCGCTCTCACCTCTTTCGGCAGCCCGCCCACTTTGCATAACCACGCCCACTCAACTACTAGCCCCGCCCACTGTTCAGTGATCCCCACTCACTACTAAGCCCTGCCCACTACACCGGTCGCCCCGCCCTGTGTATTATGTGTCAAGCACGAGGTCAGGCAATTTTAATCCTGGGACAAATTCCCATCCGGCGCAAACTTTCTGAAACTATCGGGAATTAATTTGTAGAGTTACCATTTTGGGCTTTTATATATTTATTACAATTTATTTCATTAGTCTCAGAGAAGGACATTGCATCTATCTTCATTTCCCCTCCTATACTTCACCATTAAAGACCGATAGGGACTCTTAAGTCTCACGCATTCACCACGTGTCTCACACCCGTTCTCACGAATTGGCTTTAACAAATTTGTGGTCAGCAGGGAACGGTTGAGGACAATTCATTGTTGTACTGCACTTTTATCCTCCCACGTCCATGCTCACCGCTTTCACTATTCCACACTGATCATCTTCGCACCTCCGATTAGCACAGTTGGCTACGTACGGTGTGAAATAAGTTCAACATAGAGTACATGCTTCTTGGTCAAATCCATTAAAATAACGCTGATGGTGAAGTATGGTCAAATAACCCTCACGAGCCTGCAAGGCGCCGTGGAGACTCAACCAGCAGTGGATTGAACAAAGAGTTGTCCATGCACGTAGATCTTCATTTTACCATTGATGTCAACCATGGCCGGGAATTGAATTCACATCGCCGAGTTCATGGCGCGCAGTGCAGTGACACTGCTGCTGTGTCTCTATGGAGGTCTATGGGTCTCTGTGCAAGTCAATGTATCGGTCTATCAGTCTATAGATTAGTATTAAGTCAACCTATAACAGACAGAAGTATATAGTATTCTACATGTACAGCCTTTAGGCAATTCATTGCTTAATCAATGCATCCCGCTCCCATGCCATCGGATTTATTTGACCATACTTCACTACAAATGGCTGTAATATGTAAGTTATGTATATGGAACGTTATGTCCGTCTGTCTATACATTTAAGGGCCAATAAATAACATGTGTAGTGCTACCATTATAAGTTAAGGTAAACGAATGGGGCCCCATGTAAGTCTCTAAGTCTATGAGGTTCCCATGCAAGTCTGAGAGTCTATTTGTGAATCTAAGTAAGTCTATGGATCCCTGTATTAGTCTGTACGTACGTGGGTATCTGTAAGTATGAAGGCTTCCATGTGAGTCTGGTAAGTCTAAGAGTCCCCACGTATGTATGTTGATTTTTTTTCACACCGTACGTAGCCAACCGTGCTAATCAGAGGTGCGGTGGAAGGACAACAAACTGAACACAAAAATCAGTTTTAAATAAAAAAATATATTTTAAATCTACATTTAAAATGTGTGCATGTCTATGGCTTTTTGTCCATAGGTCTCTTTGTAAGTACTGTATACGAGTTCACATGTACGTGTATATGTCTATGGGTCTCTGTTTTAGTTTGTCTATGTTATCTGTGTAAGTATAGGGCTCTCATTAAATAATCTATAAATCTAAGAGTATCTTTGTGAGAGTATCTTTGTGTGTATGTATATGGGGGTGTCTGTGTAAATCTATGCCTCTATGGTATCTGATTCTATGGTATCTGTGTAAATATACGGGCTCCGTGGCTTTGGGTATCTAAGTCTAAACGGCCTCTTACCTGTCACCTAGCTCACGCACATGCTAAAGTGAGTCTCGTGCACACACGACCGAAAACGTGCACCGCTGCTCACGTGAGCAGGAGAACTGTGCGGGAAACGAGGACCTCGATGCTAACTAATATCCAAGTGGGGAAATGAACGCCCTGACCGCTGTGATCTCAAACGATTCACAAAGATCCCATTATGTTCATTCTGCACACAGGAGATCGGGAGTGGGGGCGGGGGCAGCTCGGAGTGACGGCTGGTCGGTGGTGGGTGGCGAGGTGAGGAGGGCGGTGTTAAGGTGGGCAGGTGAACAGCAGCAGATAGTGCTGCGTGCCCATCGGTGGTGGGTGTGTGGAGGTGGGTGTTGATCAGTGCGCGGAGCGGTAGTGTAGCTGTTAGCGCGCTCACACCCCTCGTGTGCCCTGACGGCTCTCATAGGTGCTCGCTAACAGTCTTGCCCCAACAGTCTGTTAAAGGGCAATACGGGTGATCTTTGTCTTGATAGATCAGTGTTTTCGCGGACCTGCTCGCTGTCAGACATAAGGAGACGAGGCTCAGCAAGGCTTTCCTGGGTAAACAAGCGTGATGACAACAACAAAATCACACATGTTCGCGGGCCATCATGCACTAAAATATATTTTAAAAAATGCTTATGTTGAATCGGGGCGACCGCCCGGGCCCTGCGCTTTGGGGGGGGGGGGGGGCGCTTCGACGTCACGGTTTCAGGTGTAATACTTCCGGTTTAGTTTGAAGGCGTCGGGGGGGGGGGGCTCGCACAACGGATTTGTCCCGGGCCCCCTAATACCCGGCTCTGACTATATACGATGGATAGCAAATGTTCCTCGGACCACTTCCCATGGTCTTGCGGACCACAGGTAGCGAACTGAACCACGGGTCGGCAACCGTTGATGGAGACTCGTAGATGGTGTTGGTTGGAGGTGGTTGTAAGAGGGTGGCTAGTGGGTGGTGCGTTGCTGTTGGTTGTTGATTGTATACTGTGCAGGTATAGTTGTGTAGATGTGTTGATGGATGTTGGTGGTTGCAGAAGGTGTGGGTGTTGGATCGGTGATTGATGTGGAGGTGTGGATGTAGGGTGCCTCCGATTAGCACGATTGGCTACGTACCATGCGATATAAGTTCCACATCATTCATAAATTTAAACGGGTGGCGTATAGGTGGATGTAAGTGTGTGTGTGTAGAGCGGCGTTCTTCTTGGCAAGGCCCGCGGGCCACTGGCGACCCTTAGTGGCCTTTAGTGCTGCCCCTGACGTGCGGCCCCTGTCGTGCGGCTCCTGGCGATACACAACGAGTGAAGACACCCCCCCCCCCCCATCGTGCTGTCCACTTCAATGGTTGCAAATATTTGGCGGGCCTCACACTGATGTCTTATCGGCGAAAGTGGCCCCCCTCTCGAAATTAGTGACGAACACTGCTCTAAGAATATGAATACTGCTCTAGAGGTTTGTTTTGTGTGTAAGGTTGGGTGTAGAGGCATTGGTGCACCCGTGGGTGTAGGGGCGGGTTCCTGGGGCGGCTGTTGCAAAGGGTTGATGTGAAGTGGCGTCGAGGTGAGTATCGACAGGTGTAAGGGTGAGGGGTGTGCGTGCGGAGGTGATGGGTGTGGTCTCGTGCTGTTGTAGGTGTGGTTGGTGCAGAGGTCTGCGTGTAGAGGGTACGGACTCGGGCTGTAGAGTTGGATGGAGGTGGTGGTGTAATGACGGGGGAGTAGAGATGGAGGCGGTGGGTGTGGGGGTTGGGGTTGGTAGACGTGAATGGATTGGGGGTGTATAGGTGGGTGCTGATGAAAAGGCGGGGGTGAGCTATGTAGGTGGGTGCGTGTTTGGTTGCTGTGGGGCTGTGTACCCTACAGAGGGAAGTGCCCGCTGCTCCCTGGTTTGCTTGTGAGCAGGTGAATTCATATTCCACAATTCGCATCCACTCGCTCGCAAGAATCTTCCGGGACGCGCACACGGGATTCACCACGGAGTGCGTCGTCTCAAACAGAGGTGAAGATGGAGAGGAAAAGGAGGTAGGTGACGCGACACGCGAGTGTCCCACGGAAACAACCACACCGCCACTGAGCTGTCATCTTCCCAGCAGCAGTGACCTGTCCACCGTGCCACCTGCGCCGCCTGCAAGGTGTGTACTCCACTAATTATTTTAAAAATCGTGGCAAGTATAACGGGCGCCACAGTGGCGAGATGTTAACTACCTCGCTTGGTATACAGGAGGTCGTGCGATTCGATCCCGACCCTGATGCCTGCTGCTGTATATTTGGAGTTTGCGTGTCTCTCTCTCTCTCTCCGTGATCGTGTGAATTTTTCTCCGGGTCCTCCGGTGTTTCCCTCCACGTTTAGATTCATGCGTTTAGAATATTTGGCTGTGAAACATATCCACATGATGATAAGCCACTTCATTGAGCTGTCATTTGTGGGCAGGTAAATTCTGGAAAAGAGCTGTATAGCTCAGTGGGCCTTACCTGGTAAAATGAAACATTGTTTAATCGTAAAAAAAAATGTTTTACAAGTCCAGTTTTACGTTTGTGAGCCGCCATGTGATTAAGACTTCGAGAGGATCGCGACTAACGCTTCCCAGTCCGCCGGAGAGCAGGCGTAGAGTGTGATGTGAGCGAGGACTTGTCTTCGCCGTGCAGCTCTCAGACTATGGGACGCATTGCCTTGGCTAAGAAGACGATCAGAGTCGTGAGAGCTGTGGAAAACTCGCCTCTTTAAATTGCCCCCTCCCCACCACTGGTTCTGGCCATTTACGTTCTGAGTGAGTGGATGAGTGAGTGGGTTGAGTGAGCTTAGACAGATACAGCGCTCTATAAATATAAAATATGGTTAGGTCGTTGTGGAAAAAATGTGTCGTAAACCATTCTCCACCCGACACAGCCAATTAACAAAGTTGTAACGCTTCAGCAGCGCTATAGGTATTGTTGTGGGAGAGCGATCTCACGGCATTGACATGCAGGGTACTGACGTTTCGCTGGAGATTACATCCACGGTTATTGAAGGTATTTGTCTGCTACTATTAGTAAATATGTAAGAGTAAGTACATGTAAAACTCCTTCATCAGAAAACATGTTTACAATCTGATTCTCATCTTCAGGCCTCGTCTATACTGTAAGTAAATAGCAGTCTGCAACTATTATCATCCACTCTCTCTATTGGCCTCTCTATGTAGTTGCAATCCAGGAGGGTCATTGCCCGAAACGTCACCTATTATATATTTCCAATTAAGGCCATACATATATTGTGCTATTGACGAATGTGCTTATTCACCGATTCACTCTTTATTTGTGTTTAAATATCTAAAATATGTGAATGCATTCGCCTATACGGATGTATGTGGCGTTATGGTCGACTCAGCCGAAAATGAGCACCTGGTGCGGTGTGTAAGCGTCGCCACTGGGGAGACAAAGGCGGCCGGGCGTGGTGCTGGCCACCCACCCCCTCGTGTGCCGTGCCGGCCTTCATAGGTGCTACTCGCTAAGCACTTGCCCCTACAGTCTGTTACAGGATATACGGGGAATCTTTGTTGTTTGGTTTTATGAAGATGTGTTTTGTTTTTGCATTCACGCTTTTATTTGATACATTTAATTGTAAAAGAACGCATTCGTATTGTGTATTTATATTGTCAATTGCGTATCGATTTCAATTCTGTATTTATGTACGTGTAATGACGACGTGGCACACTTTTCTTGAGATTCTACTGTCATTACATACATATTCCGTGCTCACCTGTATATGACTATAAATGTTGTATTTGTGACTGACATAGACAGTTTATGTTTGTTGTATGCTTATTGGCAATTAATACAGGGTAATAAATCAACTATAGTAATTAATTAATTGTACGGTGTACTAATTGATTACTTAATCGATTAAATAACGTAAACATTGATGGTTTATGTTGTATCTATGTTTTTGGTGTTGGTGTATGTTCCACATGTAAGTTAAAAGCCCCTTTGTCAATCCCCTGCTGGATGAAGGCCTCCCTCTCCAACGCCGTGTTGGCCATGGCATGGCGTTTGACCATACTTCACCATGCCGGTCAATGCTGGTTTATAGCGATATATATCATTGTATAAACCACTGCAACACCCACCGGATAGCATTACATTAGCATACGCATTAAATAGCGTAATATACCATCAACTATTTGGTAATGTTAATTAATGTGTGTGTATTCTACGGTAAAGTCACGTAGATAGAAAAACATACTAACAATAAAATAATAAAAATAAAGTTAATAAAAAAAATAATGTGGTGCGATCGAAACGTAGTGATATTTTTATTGTTTTTTATTCACTTTATTTCTATTATTTTATTTAAAATGTTCTATCTACGTGACTTTACCGAAAGAATCTTGATTTGAAGTTTTCGTGACAGCAGGAATCCCATACTCTTTGGTTCTTTCGGTAAAATCATCACGTAGTAGGTAGAAAATGTATAGTAAATCACAAGCAATCGTCATCAGATAGAAAGATACCGCAGTAGAACTACCGAAAGAACCATAGAATATAAATTCCTGCAGTCACGAAAGTTTTAAGTCAAAATTTAACGTGTGTATATTTTAATTGATGCTTCGTATACTGTATATTATATATGTATTAAAGTATACATATACTGTACATGTCCCAAGTGCACTAATTGAATTAGAACAAGTTCACACTCGTATACGTTCTACGACAGTACCCACACGCGTGTTCATTAACCATCGCGGTGGCGATGAGATGTTACCTCCCTCGCCCGGCACGCAGGAGAGCGTGGTGGGGTCGCGTGTTCTCTCTGTCGCTCTCACCGTGGTGGTCCCAGCGTGGATCGCTCTCCGGGTTCCTCCTCCGGTCCACCCCCCTCTACATTGACAATCAAAACGCGGACAGAATATTTGGCTGCTGCTGCTATAAATCCCCACGTGTGGTGATGATATCAGCCACTACGATGATGAACTTTCATCATCACGAGTGGCCAAGTCGCTCCTTATGAGAAAGTGCTCCTAGCTCAGTGGGCTTTACCTGATCAAGTAAAATAGTTTAGTTTTCCACGGGGAGGGGGGGGCGCAGTGGTTGGCGCACTGTGAAACAAACCTGGCGACCCGAGTTCAATTCCCGCTCACAACCAACGCAAGTAACGATCATTATCTGAACCGGCTCTGGACCTCTCGTAGTTAGACAGAGCCTTACATGAGTACCTGGTGCTGTGAGAAAACATCAGCACTCGGAGAGACAAAGGCGGCCAGGCGTGGCGCTGGCCACCGCCTCGTGTGCCGTTCAAGCCTTCACAGGTGCTGCTACTCGCCAACAGCACTTTCCCCAACATTCCGTTCCTGTTTGTTTTCCTTCCCCGGCACCTCCGATTAGCACGGGTGGCTACGTGCTGTGCGAACGACGTTATACATCTCGATTTAAAGCTTTCGTGACTGCAGGAATTCATACTCTTTAGTTATTTCGGTAAAGTCACGTAGGTAGAAAAAATAATAGGTGAAGACGGTTGCTTGTGTGGCGATCGAAACGTCGTGATCTATTACTTCTACCCACGTGACGTTATACATACATAGATACAAAAGCTTATCGTGGGATCTTTGTATTTGTCTTGGAAGGCATACTGCATATATAGTACAGTAATTGTAATATCGTTTTTATGTAAAAACATTACAAACAACGGATTGATGCATGTTTGTTGGAGTTTAATGCGACTGTATTTGAACCTCAACAATAATACTGGTAGGAACGAAGTTGTAAACTGAGTGTACCAGCCTGCAATTAATGTGTCCGTCCGTCCCCTTTCAATACTTTAACGAAGTGAAATATCGTGCTGTTGGGTGTAAAATAAGCAATAGACAGCGCAGAGACTTGTCCTTCCAGCCCACCCTGCAGGGACCTGTTTAGTGCACGTGTATGCACATGCTTATAGATAATCGGCGACGTTTCGGGCAATAGCTCTTCCACATGGCATATAAACATTATTTGAGCATACAGTGAGTGAACAAATGTACGTGGTTTAAGAAATCGTCTTCCTCACCTGACGACGACTGCTTGTCTTTAGATCGAAATGTGATCTATTGTTTTTCTACCTACGTGACTTTACCGAAAGACCCAAAGAGTATGAATTTCTGCAGTCACGAAAGCTTTAAATCAACATTGCATGTGCTTTGGGGAAGGGAGATTTCCTGATACGTCGCTTATATATATATTCCTTTTAATGCCACACATCGTGATATTATTGATGAATGACAATGCTGCAGCATCATTGCCAGATAATGTGATACAGCAATACCCCGGTTTACGTCAGAGATGCATTCCTGAAAAGTTCGACGAATATCGAAACGACGTAAATCAAAGCGACGTACATCAAAGCGACGTACATCAAAGCGACGCACATCAAAGCGACGTACATCAAAGCTACGTACATCAAAGCGACGTAAATCAAAGCGACGTACATCAAAGCGACGTAAATAAAAGCGACGTACATCAAAGCGACGTAAATCAAAGCGACGTACATCAAAGCGACGTACATCAAATCGACGTACATCAAAGCGACGTACAGGATTGTAGTGGGTGGGTGGTGGAGGCGACGGTTGAGAGGCGACGGAAAAACGAGAAATGACGGACGATGCTTTCAGCGACGTGTGGGTTGAGGCGACGCTAATCGGGTAGCGGCATTATTAAAGTGACGACGTATTTATGAAACGATGTAAAACGGGGAGACGTAAATTGGAGTATTAATGTATATGCCTATATATGCTCGATATTCATTGTAAATGTGCAGGCTCTCTCCTCAATCCACTGCGAGATGAATCCCTCCCCAATCCGTTGCCATTCCCTCACGATCCTAAAAAGTAACAATCCAACCCAGCACACGCACACGAGTGGATTTCATCACTGACCCATTTTACCTATGAATGAGATTTTTTTTTCATTTTAACTATTCTTTTTAATATTCATTATATACTTTGTCTCTTAATTGTGCCTCTTGAATATGTTATTGTATAGTTTTAATGTTAGGTCATTAACACTTAGTCTCT